CCATAATTGACTAATGTTAGGCTCTTGCCTGTCAAATGCCGATATTATACATTGCTTATTCTACTATTTTGGTATATTGCCGCGGTTTTTCTTGATTTCGTTTCTCATTTTGACAATGTTGCTCAAGTAACTGACGAATATTTAATACAGGTTCATCGGGTTCTATGAGGTGTTGGCAAAATTCAAAGGTCTCCACTTCAAGGCAATCCTACTTCTGTTTCAGGTGAGGCCAATCCAATAATCCATTCTGGCCAACTTTCACTCGCAATGGATAGTCGAGTCAGAATAAATCGGTGTACCTTCTTTACTCTTTTACCTTAATATTCGTCGTAAGATTGGTATCATGAACTGTTGATGCGAGGCATATGTTAGACAAGAGCTTACTTGGTTTTCACCGGAATCAAAGAAGATCTAATCGAAGACAGCATAAACCAGAACGCTCCAGTTTAACCAGATTAGAGCTGACCAGGAGAAATCCGCAGTCTTATTCTGAATAGATCAATCCCATTAATACTTCATCACACACTTTCACTCGAAATCAACAAGGGCTCAACAATTGTAAATCAAGATATTCCTTGAAAAACACTTTCCCTCCGTATGATTGAAACATACTTAAAAGTCAACTTCAGGATCTGTGGATTTCTTCTTCCAAGTGGAATTCGTCCACTAAAACGTCCTAATTTGGGACATGCCGACGAACTACTTGGCAACCATGGCTTTTCATTGCCGGGTCCAGTTTTCGTGTACAAACTCAAAACTTGCTTGAAGCCAATAAATTAAATATACACGAATTTTTATTAAATATTTACTGTATTTCTTGCCAGAAACCGCAACAAACTTCCTTAGGGCAACCGGTCGGTTTACAGTTCACCCCTCGTTGACAGATGTGGTCGACATCTTTTTCAAGCACGAAGAGTAGCTGGAGTTGGATGACACTTCTGGGATAGTATTATTATGGAGACATTTACTTTTATCATGCATTTTCGTACAAAATGAAGATTGATAAAGGGTGAAGCCTCGGATTGCCTAGGCTCCCATGTCACCCCCGAGACGTGGAATGTCGAAGCACCGACAATAGTACTGGACCATACCATCCGAGTGCCATTGCGTGGACGATGACCCAGACCGATCAGACAGGCGTCGTGCTCGCTTCTCAGCTGTACCAAAGGTCGGGCTTCGCCGTCCCCGTATGGCACACCAGAACTGTAGGAGCTTGGATGCTCCCACACGGGGCTAGGGATGGGGATGCTCCACAGAACCAGTCCTCGGTGCAAGTGTGCATCTGCCGCCACATGTCCCTAGCTTACCCTCCAAATGTTACGGTGGCTTTCAGTTCGCGTGAAAGTGATTGATGAAGAGCTTGATTGTTGATTCCTGTTGCTCTGTAGTCGTTTGGTTTCAGTATCAAGTTATGGTTGACGCAGACTACAACGCAGCCTCTTAAAGCTCAAGCAAAAATGAACTTAGCTGTCGTCTATCATGCCACTTGACAGACATTCTAAGGTCTGGTCCTCGTTTTTGATAAAGCCTCGAGCTAACACTAAGTCAAGAATATGAAATGTATTCTCCCTATTTCGTTTAAGATGATAATCCGACTGATAGTTGAATTTGCCCACATTGGTATGAGTAGACCTTAGGCTTCAATTAAAATTCGCATATTCTTGCTTTTCCAAAAGGCATTATCATCCTTGAAAAATAATTCTGTCATATGACTCAAGGGAAGTGATGGCAATATTTAGGGTAATGGTTAACTTTTCGAGATTATACGCTGCACTGTCATGGGGGCTCTCATGAAATCGGGGGGAGATCGAAACTGCAGTCCACCCTGGATGAAAATATCTTTTGGGAAGCAAGACTATGTGAAATTCAATGGAAACGTAAAGTCTACTTATATAATTGTGGGAAAATTTATCAACCAGTCTCCTCTCTTTGCCATCTTAAGCGAAAGAGAATGAATACATCTCTTATTGAAAAGTTCCATGTCTGGGAGATTTGTTTGACGTGGTTACAAATAATTTCGGTGCTGTATGCATGCCCCTAATCTATTTTCTGGTAATGCCAATAAGTGGATCACTTCCAGCTTTATTTTCAAAATAAATAAAGGGTAGAACAATCTGGATTTGTTTTATAGACAGACAAAGGATTTAATCTACCAATGCTCGTCAAGGTAACTTTCGGATCGGGTAAAATGGTAGATAGGCTGAAGTGCAAAAATAATTAGAGAACATTTGTTTGGCTATCTCTTTTCGCTATTGGAGGATATGGGGTTTGACTTAATACTCGCCGTCATTTTCGGTTATCAGATTCATTTCACCTACCAGACAACCTTTTCTCTTAGTCTTAATTACTCTCGGCAAAATGCCTTCAGACAAAGGATTTTCAAGGTCATCAACAAATGTCAACGATTGACAGGAAGTACATCATTTGCTGTATAGTTTTTTGCACTGAATGACTGAGGGCCTAGGGGGAAAAGCTGAGAACCTGGAGCCTGGAATCTTTACAGTTTTGACGATAACAACCTTGATTTCGAATGCAATTAGGCCCTGTCGCCACAATGTCCTACTTCAGGCCCAAACCAGTCCGCAAATTTTGTTTATCTTGAGATGCCTAGACTTAACCCAACTCCGGGGTCTCCTGGGCGCAGGCAAAAGAGCATTATGGAATATTATGCGGAAGAATTGACCGTAGTCCAAAAGTGGGTATAAGAACTGGTATGCCGGACAGCAGCAACAGGACGATTCAATACAAGTCCAATCATTAAGGCTTGACGCCCACGCAATGATGCCGCAGATATTTATGTAGGAAACTTGCCGACAAATCAATTAACAGGCGTATCTGATATTCAGATACAGGTTTGGTTACATTTCTAAACTTAAAGGAATCTCCTCAAAAAGTCCGCAAATAGGAAAGGCCAATCGAGCTGACCGGGATTATTGCCTAAGCCGGGCAAAATCAGTGCAGATATCAAGCAGAGATAAAACCAAACTTGGCAACATTTTCTCAAGAAAAATCTACCGAAATTCGATAAAAGAGTAGAGCAGAAATTCGCAAAATAATAATAATAGTGATTTATTATAATAATAAATGCATTGACGCATAATGATAGACAATAATTGTAATTCTCAACAGAATCTGGACAAAAATATACATTATAAGGACCTGCAGGAGTGTATTGCCCTAAAGCGAATCTTGCCAACTATTGCTACTCTGACGAATTTAGTGAGAGATACAATCAACCTGAAGTTAAAAAAGACTCCAAGTGTCATTCGATAAAATGGAAACTTTTCTTGGACTAGGCTAGAATGAGCATTTTTTACAAGCCCGAGAATGATGGGCAATAATTAGCAATTACGAAGACTACTTAGTTCAGGTTAGCTTGCTATTTTGCCCAATTTCATATTGTCTACCAATTTGCTCGCAATTATAGTGCTCAGAAGGAGAAAAATCACCTTTAGATTTGCCTATCAGATGCCGAAATGGTGTAATTGCGAGGGGCCTCGTCGAAACTGGACATTGGTCATCGACAGAAAATACATTAAAGATGATCGTCAAACTAAAGATCTCTCTTCTTCTAGAACGAGTAAACCCAAAATACACTATTTTCTTGGGTAAAAATCGTGTCCTTCGCCTACACAAACTGCTGGGCCTCAATTTTTGTGAATCTGACTTTACCTCTCATAGGGCACCTTTAAATTTTTGTGAAAACACTCTGAAAATGTATTTATGACAAGTAGGAGCTCCCGATTTACAATCCTCCGGCTTCTCCCTTCCGAGCCGAGCCTGCATCCATTGCTGGATGGATCCAGTCGAAAAAATCTTTTTTTCTCACATTTCCTGCCACCTTTCAGTAGGCATGAACAAATAGGCAGAGAAATTTGTGAATCAGCCTCACATGAAACTGAAAGAGGATCGCCTTGATCTCGTGACTGTTGATCTGAGCGTAGAAGCACACGACAATCATCATTCGATTCCATGAGTAAGTCGGTTTTAGAGACTACCAGTAAATCAGATATATGATTTGTGTTCACCCTGTTTCGATTAAGGTGATGAAGGATTGGTAATTGAATTTTCCTACAATAATATCAGTAGAGCTGATGACTCTATGGAATTTCAAACAGCCCTGCTTTCCCAAAAGTTGTTCTCATCCAGAATGGACTGCCGTTACGAGCTCACACCCCCAGCGATAGTCGAACTATGACAGCTCAGCGTGTAATCTCGACACGTTACTCACTACGCTACATTGCTACAATTGTCCTTGGGTCAAAGGGCAGATGTGAATTTCAAGCAATGTTGGGCATTTTCAATAGCACATTCTGTGCTGGGATTGTCGATGAAGTAAACTTATATTTTAGATACGAAGAGAAACTTGGTTTCGATGAATCTCCTGAGATTACATTGTTAGAAACCTTCATTTCGTATGAAAGTGCATGAAGAAGAGATTCATTGGTCGATCTCACCAGATGAGGACGGATGAATCTCATTGTACTGCAGCCGTTTGGATTTTATACGAAATTCTAGTTGACGTAGTCCACGGGACTTCCTCCCTGGTTTCGGGTGAAACGTGCTGAGCTTTCGCCCATCATATGATGGACATCATCAGAGCTAGGTGTCATTCTTGTAAAAGGCTTTGAGGTCATTAGGCCTCGATGATCAGAGCCTAACTTTAACCTTTTGATAGCTCTGATTTAGGACCTGTATTGTGTATAGACCCTTACACACACACACACACACGCATACACTCGAGTAAAAGTTGCAGAACAAGTAGGAAAGATAATTAGCCAAACCACTCTATATCCATCTAGGTTTTTAATTTTTAATTTTCTTTCGGCTTAACTGAGTCTAAATAAGAGGTAAGATAGAGCCAAACAGTCTTCTTGGGCTAGTGTTAACGAAAGCCTTTTACAAGAATGACATCCAACTCTGATGATGTCCATCATATGATGGACAAATTCACCCGAAACGAGGGAGGAAGTCCCGTGGACTGCGTCAACATGAATATCGTATAAAATCCAAACGGCTGGTGAGATCGACCAACGAATCTCTTCTTCATGCACTTTCATACGAAATGAAGGTCCCCCTAACAAATTTATATTTGCTATGTTGGTTTATCTTTCATTTCGTTTGAAGAGGCGAGTGGAAGTGATTCGTAGGTTGCTCCCATCAGAGGCTTGGAGGGGCTGCCCTAGAGATGTGGTTGAAGATTTGTGCGAATAGGTCCTCGACGCACCGCCCTGCGAGTCCGATGAATCCTTGCTGAGTGTTCGTACGTCATGTCACGGACATCGTCAGAGCAGGACACCAGGCTTAACGATAATTAGCCAAAAAACACGAAGGCAAGAAGGTGGCTGACTTTTAACCTATTTCCTTCTCATATTCCAGTTTGGTACACTTAAGCATCTCATGTTTTGGTTAAGGGATTCTTCAAAAACCAATTTTTATACATATCTATATTTGCTATAGCAATCGAAGACTTTACTTTTTTCGTGAATGAGTAGATTTTCGAGATTACTAGTAAATCAGATATATGAGTTGTATAAACTCTATTTGGTTTAAGGTGATGAATTTTCCAACAACGATATGAGTAAAGCAGATGTTTCAATTGAAGCTCATATGTCCTTGCTTTCCCAATAGGTCGAAACGACAGTCCACCATGGATGAGTGCACTTTTTGGGAAATCAAGTCTATGTGAAATTCAATGGAAACATCAGCTCCACTCATATCGTTGTGGGAAAATTCTATTACCAGTCCTCCATCACCTTAAACAAAATAGGATGAACACAACTCATATATTATTCGATTGCGACTGATCCTTGAGGAGTTTTCGTTTGTTGCGCCGAGACAGAACCCATCAAAAACATGCCACAATTCTCTAGGTAAGCCTCAACAGATATTAAGCCAAGATAAGTGGATATCTGTTACCCTACCTACCATTTGTAGCCCAACTCTGCCCACTTAATGAAGTAATTAAGGAGTTGGTGGACTATTTCACGCAGCGAATTCAATGGGGAAAATTACCAGGCCCTCTTAACAAAATTGTCAAGTCTGCATTGCAGTCAACGGGGACACTGGGGCAAGCGATACAAGAGGCCTTGAAAAAACTATAATGATAAAAATAAAAATAAAATCACAATAATGCTAGTGATGGTAATAGTAATAATACTGATACTAGAGACGGCGATGATTATGATTCTCGTCCTCCTCCCCCCTTTGCGGCTTGGATATAAAGACTTGTATATTATTTCAGACTTATGCAAGAATCTAAATTAAATGGGTGACGCAAGAGGTTGATTAAAACGTAGAGACAATATATAAAGTCACAAAATTTATATAATACTTACTGAGGATAGCTTATTATCAGCCAGATAGTTGACAAGAGCAAGCAAGTTCTCCCCGTTCCTCAGCATGTCTAAGGCATCTTCGATCTCTTTTCCGCGGGCCTAGTCCAAGGGATGGTCATGAAAAGAGAATAAAAGTAAAAGCGTAAGAGCTGAAGAAGCTGAAACTTATGAGCCTAGTCTGTCGGTAACTTTAATTGCTTATTGAGCTCACGTAGTGCAGGGAATCTTGGATAGAGGCCTAGATTGCTGTTCATTTTATTAATAATGAATAAGCTTTAAAAAATTAGTAGATCTCGAATTGGAATATTAGTCGCCCTAGGGTCGCATGAGATAATGGGGTATTGATAATTACTTTCACCACAATGATACAAGTAAGCTACATTATGTCATAATGACACTTAGCCCTGACCTCAAAAAGGTATTTTCATCCAGACTGAACTGCAGTTTTGACCTTGCCTCGGTCTCATCCCCACCACCAAAAGGAATCGAGCTCTGCTAGTTTGGCATTTATCTTCAGCATGTCACCACTAACTCCAACTGCTATGGTGACCAGATTGTCACAGGGCGGACAAGACTTTCAATGCAAGTCAAGCTCGCTCTTATAACAGGTTTATCGTATGATTGTCGATGGACCAAACATGTATTTGCTATTACATTAGAAAATTACTTGGATTCGTAATAAATGGATTTTAGAACTTCCAGTAAAACTTGCATTACCAATTTTGCCACCCGAACTGGCTTAAGATGGTAAAGGGCTGATAGCGAATATGCCGAACGTTCTTATTCAAGGTTTACTGATAGCCTCAAATAGTTACTCATTAAGAATACAAGTACTGTTGTCAAAATAAATAGATGTTTGCCTCAATGACAAACTTACAATAAAAATGTGATATGGAAGAATCCCGTTTTGCCCCGAAATTCATGTCTACCCTGTCATTTAATAGAATTTGTGGCAATGTTGCGTAATGGCAAGATGTCAAAAATAAAAACGCTGCACTATCCAAATTCGATTCCTGTTGGTTGTGCTGACAAGACCCAAGCAATCCTTGATGAGAATATATACGGTAAGCAAGGCTGGTTGAAATTCGTTGCCATCATATCATTATAGGAAACTTTAATTATTAGTCCTTCATCACCTTATGTGATTTAGGGTGGGGAGTTGAGGAAAAATCTTCCTACCAGTTGACATATTTCGGTCTAAATAACTTAAGTTGTAGAATGGGAACAAAAACATTGCCATAGGCCTTTCCTCCTCGCTTCAAAGACGTACAGCGAAGGCTCAAGTGAGAATCTGACATTAACAACTTCAAGTGCGACTGAATTTCGATGTATTTCTTGAGACAGTATCGCTGGGATAATTTTCCTTTTGTGTGAATTCACCTGATAAAACATTAGGAAATATATGGAAGATATCGAACATTGTCAGAGCAACGTATGGTCTCGCCGCGTTAACCACTACATTGCATTGCCACGATTGTCCTTAGACCACAGGGCAAAAAGGCACTTTAAAGAAGCCTTTCCCATATCACATTTTTCGTGATGGGATTTTCGATGTAGCAGGGTTGTATTTGCCAAGGCAATCGAACATACTACTTATTTCCAGTTTATAAGCAGGTTTTAAACTAGTAGTGGATCTCATATAAGAACTGTGTTCACCCGATTTGGTTTAAAGTTATATCAAATTAATAGTTCGAGTAAAAGGTGCCCTGAATATATGAGTGTCGATATGAGGGAAGTAGAATAATGCTGTGACGATCCTGAGGAGTCTAATCTAAGCCCTTAACACATTTACCCAAACACTGGTCCAATGGTGTTTATCATCAAGTTCAGGGAAGTTTGTCAAAAGAAGACACCTCATTCTTACAATGTCCATCCAAGCAGGAGAGACAAAAATGTGGAATATGGGATAAATCCTACTTCGCAAGCATCCACGGGTTCAAAAATGGAAGTTCCAATAGCATGCAACTTCGTGATTTTTATTTAAACTCGTCTTCAAATGAGTTGAGCCTTTAGGAAGACTTGACGAAATCCACTCCACTCTGAGTCCTTGGACAGAAGTATGTTCCAGGATTAACAGTAGATTATCATTAAGAACTTGAACTGATGCACGGAACTGTAGGTGAACTATTTCACAACGGGAAAAAGAGTTTTCCCAATGGCAATCCCACCATCAAGTGTGATTCGAGCGAGGCTCGGCTCGCCTTGAAAGTGACATCTGACCGTCTGGCACGCAATCACGGCTGCATGGCGACATTCCGAGTTTTGACAGATTTAGTTTCCCGGACGAGTTCGAGTCGGCATTTGAGGCTGGATAATTAGACCATTTGAGAGACCGGGACATATGAACTTCTTTGGCATCTGGAAAGCTATGCATTGGAATGTAGGAATTTCAACCATCCGGCTTGTGGTGATTTATTTTCAGGTTCACGATCTACTCGTTATGTACGCAGCGACAGCCTCCACGTGTGTCTCCGTTCCGCACAGGCTCATGCATACGCATTGGCTCGGATCGTGTCATTACCTACTTCGTAAAGGCAGACCAGCAGCATTTGTTGTGATAAGTAATTAATTCAGGTGATGCGCTCTGCGTTGTTGTACTGCCTCTTCACTGCTCGGGCCTAATCCCCGACTCAGTTGTACCTCAAGTTGCTAAGCCTGAGGCGGAGGTGAAAACGTCGGCTTAGCGACAGAATGAAAGGTCGGAGGAGGACCTGGAGAAAATTGCAGGTTAGACCCTGGCAACGAGACTGAGTAAGACACACAACCCAACCAGTCACGATGCTTTGGCTTGTTGTCTCAGGCCAGTAGTTCGGCTATGCTGACTACGACGGTTGTCAGGCCTCCATCATCGAATCGTAAGCCCCCCAACCGCATTCACCCGCAGTGTGCCGGCCTGTCACTCCAGCCTGAGTCTGGTGTCCACCCCGTTGCCGGGCCCTCTGGCCCCCTCCGCCTGTGACCTGTGCGCCCGGGTCAAGAAGTGAGGTCTGTCGACTCTAGAACACACACACACGAACACTCACAAAGAGGGCCAGACTCAAGTATACCGACACAGGTGTGTATGTGTGTTTGTATGCGAGCTTTTTTACCGGCCACAAGCATACAATTGTGCACGACTTACAGACAACACGATCAGTGAAGCCAGACGATAGGCATCGGCAAACTTGCCTACGCTGCCACAAGCCTCCAAGAGGTCGACGGATGCTGGTGGCAGTCTTTTGAAAGGCTTCAGAAGTGGCAGGAGCAGGTTGCAAAGCTGACCCCTCCACAGCTCCGATGAGGTCATTCGAGGCTCTAAGGTTGTACCCTCACTTGTCCCCTGGGCATGGCTTTCTCATTCTCCAGCAGCGAGGCCTAAGACCTCCTAAGACGTTCTCGGTCTCAGAATCATCATACACCGACCGCTAAGGAAATCGGAGGTTAGTACCACATAAAAGCCCGCTACGACTATGCCAGGTCGGATCAGCCAATGGGGCCTCGGTTAGGAGGATCAAATTGACTGTAGAAAAATGGCGAGTTTGATGATCGTATAGAATGGGCCTCTGAATTCGATCGTAGCACTGCAGCTCTCGAACACAATGAGTGAGACCACGATAACCACCATTGAGGCAATACAGCACTACTGTTAGAAAGAGGTCAGTAGTGTTTTGGGCTATGCGCAAATTCTAACCTCGATTTTCAAGTCCATCGCTTCTTCATCCCTTTACTCTGACCAAGTGTCGGTTCGACCTCTCTGCTTAATTGGCAAAGCGTTACAACTTGGCACCCTAGAAATGAGCAGGCATAAAGTACGCTCTAGATAAGAAGAGCAGATTACATTCTTTTTCGTTGTAGGCACAGTCTAATTATTCTAGCTATATTCACCCTATTTGATTTAAAGTGTTAAAGGACTGGTAGTTACTGCAAGTCTCGGCAACCTACTTATAAAACTAAAAACAGAGTAATTCTTCTTCTATTACTAAAACAACAAAAAATATTTTAAAAAATGCTTGTATACGATGCGTAGATGGGGCTCGAAAACTCTCTTGAGAAGACTTTCGTTTAGTGGGAAAGTTAATGCTGGAGAGATTCATTGATTGATCTCATCGGAAGACGACGGGTGATTCACGTTATTCTGCAGCCTTATGGCGTCGCGACGACGTGACATCCTCCCTCGTTCCGATTGCTGTCAGGTTAAGGTTCATCCCTTCATATGAAAGACATCACCAGAGCTGGAACTCATTTTTACTAAAGCTTAAAGGTAAAATGTTCCGCACATTTTGAGTTCATTATCCAGTCTGTTATATATACTCATAGCTAAAAAATATAGATATAGACAAATATAGAAGATTGTTAGGGGGACCTTCATTTCGAATGAAAGTGCATGAGGAAGAGATTCGTTTGTCGATCTCATCAGATGATTTTATATGATATTCATGTTGACGCAGTCCACGAGTCTTCCTCCCTCGTTTTGGGTGTAAA